GGAAAATTCCGGTGTTAGTGGCCATTTTCGTGGAAAATCCGAGGGGGGGGTGGCCACCTTCGCGGAAAATTCCGGTGTTAGTGGCCATTTTCGTGGAAAATCCGGACCCAAGTGGCCACTTTCGTGGAAAATCGGGGTTGGTGGCCACTTTCGTGGAAAAAACCGGGGGGTGGCCATTTTTCCGCGAAGAGTATAGGGTTTAAAATCATATGATAAAGAGTGTTTAGGGTTCAGGGTTTTAGGGTTTAGGAGCCTATGAGGCCTTTTCTAGACCCTATGCCCAAGCCTAACTAAAACCCACGAGTTTCACAGATAACCCCTAAACCCTATAATGAGTGGGGGTGTTCATTGCTAGTTGTCCCCATCATTGCACCCAAACTGCACACACGATCACCAAGGCTCCTCAGGAGCCCTACATGCACTCAGCAAAACCCCCCAAGTTTGCCAAACAACTACTTCGCATGAACTGTATCATCCCTCAAACCTATACCTTAACCTACCAAAACCCACTTTTTTGTAGGTTCTTATTATAAACCCTAATATGGGATTTATATGGACCCTACAAAAAAGTAGGTTTGGGGTTCTTAGGGTACCCCTAAACTCTAGAGGAACTCTACAATGATTCTCAAGTTTCTAAGCTTTCCGTGCCTAAACCTAAACCCCTAAACTCCCTCAACCCTGAACCCTTAACCTCTGAACCCTTAAACCCGAAACCCTCAACCCTAAACTCCCTCAACCGTCAGCTTTAAACCCGGAACCCCTAGACCCGCGCGCGCTCCCGGAGGCAAGTCGGGTCGGGAGCACGGCGTTGCATGTCCTGGGCTTTGAAGCAACCTAAACCCTAAGCCCTATAAATCCTAAACCCTAAACCCTAAACCCTAAATCCTAAATCCTAAATCCTAAACCCTCAATCCTAAACCCTAAACCCAAAGGGTTTCGGGTTTAGGGTTCTTTTAAGGAACGAAAAGGTCCCCCAAAAAAGCATAAACCCTAAAATCTAAGCCCTAAACTCTCAACCCTAAACCCTAAACCACCCCAAACTCTAAACCCTAAACTCTCAACCCTAAACCCTAAACCCTAAACTCTCAACCCTAAACCCTAAACCCAAAAACGTATTGAAGTGTGGTACTCCACAACCCAGTGTCGTTCACAGCCCGCAAGGTCTCTTCGGCGAAGTTACGCTGGCGCATCCTCGTTTGGGGTTTAGGGGTTTAGGGTTTAGGGTTTAGGGTTTAGGGTTTAGGATTTAGGATTTAGGGTTTAGGGTTTAGGGTTTAGGGCCTAGGAGTTTCTGGGTTTAGGGCTTAGGAGTTTCTGGGTTTAGCGGTGTAGGGTTTAGGGGTTTAGGGTTTAGGAGGTTCAGGAGATTCATAACATGGGGTGTATAACATGGAGTTTCGGGTTTCGGGTTTGCAGGGCGAAGGGTCTAGGGTTAAGGGCGTTTGGTTCAGGCTTGATTGAGGGTGTAGGCTTTTGGGTGGGTGTCGGTTTGTCCTCGCCACGTAGTAGAGCACCACGCCAGCATTCACATGGTGCAATTGAACTGCGTGGGGTGCTGCCAACACATGGTGTTCCTGCATGTTGTCGAACTCCTTCCAAAGGCTTGCAATGTCGTCAAGCAGGATGATGTCACCCACATCTATCGAAATGATCTTGTCCACGTCCGGTGGTAGCAGGAGATGGCATACTACCCGCGCAAGGATGGCCTTCCCGGCAGCACCGAAGCTACAAGTCTGCGTGGGGTACTTCTCGAGGTACCTTGTTCATGGTTGGGGTAGTATTAAAAATCTACATTTATATTCCTTATTGGGTTTAAGTACCCTTAAAAATGTAAAATGTTACCCAACTATGACAAAGGTACATGGAGAACTGCGGATGGTCGTTGAAGTTGATGTACTCAAAAGTCACACCCTCAAACTTCTGAAATTGGTCTTTGAGTTCCTGGACCGCAAGTTGCCATGCACGCAACCCCGGTTCGTCCCCAAGCACCACCACGCGCAGACTGGCTGTCCGATGTTGGAGAACACTCCAGAGGGTCAGAAATCCAGTCTTAGCCCAGTCTCCCAGGCTCACCTAGGTTCCGCCGTAGCCCCTTGATAATAAGGGCACCCTTTTTCCTACCATTTAGCTTCTTTGTAAGGGAACCCAAAAGGAAAAAGGGCAGAAGGGTACTACTGTTCAAGCTAGTCACTATGAGCAGAGCCACCCGGGCCGAAGAAGTTGGATGCATCTGCGATGAGTTCGCCTGGAAATAGCCGCGCCCCACCGGGGCTTCCAACTGACGGCTGAAGACCTCACGGTTCACGGTTCAGGGTTTAGGGTTTAGGGTTTAGGGTTTAGGGTTCGGGGTTTAGGGTTCAGGGTTTAGGGTTTAGGGTTTTAGGGTCGCCAAAGCTGCAGGGAACAGGGTATGTGGTCAAGGGAGAGGCTATATCAGCGAAGTTCTCTTCGGAGCCTTGCGCCACCTCAGACGTCAGAGCCTCGACCCTTTTCACAAGATCGCTTTCCGATGAAGGTGCCCCAACCACAAAAGCACACACAGCTGTCGAAAAGGACAATTTCATGAAGGACCGAAGCTCGCCTCCTACACATCCTTTTAACGTAGTCTACAAAGCAAGGCGACCTTACTAAGCTCTACAAAATGGTTCAGCCCAAAGACCCACCTTTGCGGTTCTTCAGCCCTAAACCCCTAAACCCCTAAACCCCTAAACCCCAAACCCTTTAAACCCTAAACTCTAAACTCCTAAACCCTAAACCCTAAACTCTAAACTCTAAACCCTAAACTCCAAGCTCTAAGCTCCTAAACCCTAAACCACGAAGCCGGCTAAGCCCAGCCAGGCCTGCAAGTTCGGGATGAGACTGTAGGCCAGGAAGCTGTAGGCCTGAAGGGGGGCTTGTGCTTGGGGTTTAGGCTTTAGGGTTTGGGGTTTAGGGTTTAGGCTTTAGGGTTTGGGGTTTAGGGTTTAGGCTTTAGGGTTTGGGGTTTAGGGTTTAGGCTTTCGGGTCAGGGGTTTAGGGTTTAGGGTTTAGGGTCTGGGGTTAGGGTTTAGGGTCTGGGGTTTAGGGTTTGGGGTTTAGGCTTTAGGGTTGAGAGCTTGAGGTGCACGTGCATTGGTGTTTCGGGTTTTCGGAGTTACGCTCAAAGTTCTTCGGTCCTTTGAGTCTACGGGTCCTGGACAGAGTTCATTGGGATTGCTTGGCTTTGGGTTCAGTGTTCGCGGTTAGATACGGGTCTGCTACCTGTTGCACAGACAGGACGCGACTACAGTTGGTAGTGATGTTGGCCGTGCGCTCAACTACGTATCGTCAAGCACGGCTGTGGCGTCGGCAGTATTTGCCACGACTGATGGGCCGATAACACATGCCTGCCAGCGAAGGGTTCCGCTTTTGGTAGTTTAAGATAGGATAGGGATGCCCTCACTCTTGCCTTGTCCGCAACATCCTAAACTGTGACCATGCTTCCTGCAGTCTAAGCGCATAAGCGCACTCTACATGCTACCAAATCCCATGATCCAACGACCTAAACCCGAAACCCTCAGCCCTAAGCCCTAAGCCCTAAGCCCTAAACCCCAAAGCCCTAAACCCAACCGTAAACCCGAAACCCTAAGCCCTAAAACCCTAAACCCCAAACCCCCAAACCCTAAACCCCCAACCCGAAACCCTAAANNNCCCCCCCCCCCCTTTTTAAGGCCTGCATCCCCGCTTCATAGAGCTCCAGGGACGGGTCGAAGAGGTCGCGCGTCGCCTCCAGGCTCAGCTCCTGCCTTCCCCAGGGCGTCTCTTTTAAAAGAAACTACAGGTGGGGATTGGGGGGTTTGGGGTTTAGGG